CATGTCCATAGGTGCTCAGATCCTCCCCTCAGTATGAATCCCAACGTCCGATGGCTAATAGTACCCGTTCCATGTTGATTAACAAGTGTCTGGTGTGCGTCTCGTTTTTTGCTGTGCCGATCTTAATTCCTAAGTCTGCAATTCTGGCGAGTGATGTGGATTCACTGCCACCAAAGTCCTCTATCCTTCCCATTTCTCTGAGGGCATTGATAATATCAGCATGATCCATAGGCTGACCGTCGGTAGTGATAGCGGATCCAGCCAACCTGTCAGCTCTTTCATTTCCATTGACGCCTGCGTATCCCGGAACAAAAATAAAGGTGACTCCACGCACAGTGGACTTCTGTAATGATTCAAGCCACTGTCTTCGCACGGAACCCTCCGGATCATACTCATTGAATCACTGAGTATACATTCACGGGTGTATTTTGTGTTTCAAGCCAGGCAAATGCTTGCGTCACTGCCATCACCTCCATCGTCATGCTGCTGGTTGTCATGGAGAAGGCGCCGTTGGCTTCTTTGACTGTTCTGCCCGCTGAGCGTGCTGTAAATGCACATGCGCTTCTTCTTTGGCGTATAACGGATCCGTCTGTATAGATTATTGCATCTGCTTCGTCTGAATTTTCACCGATGAGAGCGTTGACCTCTGCATTAACAGCAACATGATTCTCTTCTCTGCATCGCCTGTTGAGTGTGACAATACAGGAAAATGTACAAATAAACGCCTGAGGCACAGGTATCCATTCTGCACCAGGTATGATGTCGGTTAGGCTGCATATTTGCCTAATAACATCTTCTGCCTGACCTAGCCAAGATTTCCCCCTCTTCAGTCTGTCGCCCTTTTCACTAAAAAGCGCTTGATGCAGTGGGTGTTTCTTATCAGCACATATTTTGAGATATGCCCGAGCCCTCCACATCCTGATTTTTTGGTTCATTGTTGGAAAGTCAAGTAGATACCTCATTGCTCCACAGGATGTGTCTCTTGTACATCCCAAAATAATGCGCATGGCTTCATTTTGCACCTTTTCGAGTCGTTCAATCTGGGTAGCACTGACAGTGAGGATGGCCAGAGCGTATTCAATGGGGGAAAGGACCAGACCGTAGAATAGAAGTATTAGTAGTCTTTGCTCAATATTGGAAGCAGCCATAATCCTCATTGCTTTTTGGTCAGTTTGCTCCAAATAGCGCGCCAAAATGGTTTTTCCTTTATCAGCATCAGTTCTCTGCCATATCAGGTCTGTACCCTGGATACCCCTTGGTCGTGCGGCGCCGTGCATGCTCCGTTGAAGGTGCCAGAATGTCACAAGAGATCCCACGAGCAAACGCTCTTGCAGAATTCGTTCCATTTCGCTGTCTTAGCTTCCTTCGCAATTAACTTGAAAGCTACTGTCTGCTTGTTGACCTCATCTTTCAGACTGATCAGGCGTTCAGAAAGTGACGGATCAATTTTCCTTGCCTTTTGCCATGCCTTCACAGCTTTCCTTTTTTTCTAGCCACGCCATGTTGACTACTTCATTCCACCATGGTGGCTGGGCTCATCTCTCCCGCCGTCTGCGATCTGCTCTTGTTTTACGTCGTCGGATTTTGCTAATGGCATCTTGCCCTGTAGGGTCATATATAAAAACAGGCACATTGATTACATGACCTTTGTTGTTGCTCTTCTCTACCAGGACGACGCAAGGAAAGTGATCACTGTCGTGGTATCCCAGTGTGCTTCACCTGCATCCTGTTGCAATGGAGAGAGACACTAGGGCCAGGTCAATTACGCTGTCAGAATCCCCTTGTCGGGTTGCCATTCAGGTAACCTTTCCGTCATTCAAGCATACTTGATCGGCAGACACTAGGGCATCCTCCAGGTCTTCCCCCTGTTTATTAGTGATTACATTGCCCCACTTGTTTCCTCGGGCGTTGAAATCTCCGCAGTAAAGGACTTTCTTTTCCTCCGTCTGGAGCAAACTCTGCCATTTCGCTGTATCCACCTTTCCATTGCAGGCGTACACATTGACGATCACAAACTGGGCCGGGCCCATCACTCTGACTGCGTGTACTTGTAAGTCGTCATTATTCCACTCAGACATGTCCACCTCAGACACCGGTATGTGGTCACGAACAAGAATGAGCTGTCTGAGGTGCCGTCTATTGTAGAAGGATTGGAAGCCCGCAATTTTAACGATCTCGTCACCGAGGTGTGTTTCCTGTAGGACAACAATGTCGTTGCTGTAAAGGAGCTTCTAAAAAATGGGTCAGCGTTGACTGAACGAAGCGCAGTTCCAGTAGAGAACACGAACATACTTTAAACTGAGTCTCTCACATTTTAGTCGCTTCCTGCAGGCGCCACCGTGCTTGCCTGTTCGCGTTCTCCTTGTCCGTCTACGGGTTGTTTTAAATTGGTAAATAGTCGCCATCGGATGTAGACAGACAGTAAGACAGACAGACAGTCAGTCAGATAAACAATCAGTCAGACAGACAGACAGAGAGTAGGACAGCATGGTCGACAGCAAAACTGAGTTTCCTACAGACATACACATGCATCCATCTCCTAACACAGACACCCTTTCCCCACCACCCAAACAAACATTCACCTCCACATATCAATCCACATATACAGTCATACCTCGTCACCAACACACTCACTCTCTCATATATATACACACACACATTCACGCGCACAGGCGCCATTAGAACAACTAGTGCAAACGTTTGAGAAGATTTAGAAAACCCACAAACCACGTAATTGTCAACATAATGAAGACACGAAGATTTCCTCGACTCTGGCACTTGTGACAGACGTGTTGTCCAGAACCACTACACGAAAAGCAGCTATGGAGGAAAACACCAATGTGAAAGAATAAACAGTTTTACTTTGTGTTTTCACTGACATGGATAATTTTCACAAACATAACGTTACAGTCAGGCATCTGCAGTCGATGGGAACAGAACAACTCGACTTTTTATAGCTTTTTTTTTTTTTTTTTTGAATATCCAGAAGCAATTAGTTGTTAACCCTTAGGCTCGGTATTATAGACATCGCAACCCTTCGGCCTTGATTCCATGATAAATACCGTAAATCTGGGAGAAATGTGGCTTTTCTGCCTACCCCCGGGCGTGAACCCGGACCACAAGGAGATCTTCACCCGGTCACCGCGCAATTCGGTCTAGCCAACTAAGCTATCGAGCCGGGCACTTTTCATAGCTAATTCGACATGTTGGCACCTTTTCGGACGATAGTGTTGCGTGGTTACAGGGAAAGCGTTAGAGTTACAGCCCATGGCGATGGCGAGTGTGACTAGCAAGACCTGCACTCGTCAAGAAAAGTTTAACAACATTAAAACATGGGATTAAATGACTGATGCTGCCATCACATGTTTCTGGTGTTTTTCTTTTCAGATGCTCTCAACTCAGAACCTTTCTGCAATCCCCTCCCCCCCCCCCCCCCCCACCCCCGCCCCGCCCCATTTCCACTGAACTGGGTCCATGACATTTCTGTTCCCCACGAATCTACCTCAATGCCTGTATTATTCATGTCCCGCTTGCACACATCTTTTTATCGTAGTAGAGGCCTGTCTTGTCATTTTCTAGCCATTTATCTCCCCTGAAAAGAAGCCGCAAAAAAAAAAAAAAAAAGAGCCACGCCAATGTTTGATGTGTCTGTGGATTCGTATCTTTTGTCTAAAATATGTAACAGTTTATCTTTTTACGTTACACAATAATGTTGGCTGCGTGGATTTTTATCATAGTGTGACGCGTCGCAGGTGGACCTAGCCTAAAATGGGTACCAGGATGGATGTCCTGGAGAAGTAAAGACGGCCGGCGTAATGCTGACCACATTACCCACCTAGTGCAGATTGGTCTGTAAAAATATGGATGCTCTTCCCATATACCCGATGCGCCTAAGGCGTGAAAAGGAATCTTTACTTACTTTACTTTGTACCTGTGACCAGTGCCTTCTGAATAAATCTAGCTCGTGCAGAAGGGACTTTCGACCCATTAATTATCCAACAATGCAGGTGGCATGTGCAGGTTGTTTTCATAGGGTACGCTCATGTGAGCGGGTAGGACGAGCGGGAAGGTGGGAGGGAGGGAAGGAAGAGAGAGAGAGAGAGAGAGAGAGAGAGAGAGAGAGAGAGAGAGGGAGAGAGATAGATAGATAGATAGATAGATAGATAGATAGATAGATAGATAGATAGATAGATAGATAGATAGATAGATAGATAGATAGATAGATAGATAGATAGATAGATAGATAGATAGATAGATAGATAGATAGATAGATAGATAGATAGATAGATAGATAGATAGATAGATAGATAGATAGATAGATAGATAGATAGATAGATAGATAGATAGATAGATAGATAGATAGATAGATAGATAGATAGATAGATAGATAGATAGATAGATAGATAGATAGATAGATAGATAGATAGATAGATAGATAGATAGATAGATAGATAGATAGATAGATAGATAGATAGATAGATAGATAGATAGATATAGATAGATAGATAGATAGATAGATAGATAGATAGATAGATAGATAGATAGATAGATAGATAGATAGATAGATAGATAGATAGATAGATAGATAGATTAGATAGATAGATAGATAGATTAGATAGATAGATAGATAGATAGATAGATAGATAGATAGATAGATAGATAGATAGATAGATAGATAGATAGATAGATAGATAGATAGATAGATAGATAGATAGATAGATAGATAGATAGATAGATAGATAGATAGATAGATAGATAGATAGATAGATAGATAGATAGATAGATAGATAGATAGATAGATAGATAGATAGATAGATAGATAGATAGATAGATAGATAGATAGATAGATAGATAGATAGATAGATAGATAGATAGATAGATAGATAGATAGATAGATAGATAGATAGATAGATAGATAGATAGATAGATAGATAGATAGATAGATAGATAGATAGATAGATAGATAGATAGATAGATAGATAGATAGATAGATAGATAGATAGATAGATAGATAGATAGATAGATAGATAGATAGATAGATAGATAGATAGATAGATAGATAGATAGATAGATAGATAGATAGATAGATAGATAGATAGATAGATAGATAGATAGATAGATAGATAGATAGATAGATAGATAGATAGATTAATAGATAGATAGAGAGAGATAGAGAGAGAGGGAGAGAGAGAGGGAGGAGAGAGAGAAATAGATAGATAGATAGAGAGAGAGATAGAGAGAGGGGGAGGGAGAGAGAGAGGGAGGGAGAGAGAGATAGATAGAGAGAAAGAGAGATAGAGAGAGAGAGGGAGGGGGAGAGAGAGAGGGGGAGGGAGAGATATATATATATAGAGAGATAGATAGATAGAGAGAGAGAGAGAGAGAGAGAGGGAGGGAGAGAGAGAGAGGGAGAGAGAGAGATAGAGAGAGAGAGGGATAGAGAGAGAGATAGAGAGAGAGAGAGATAAATAGAGAGAGAGAGAGAGAGAGAGAGAGAGATAGAGAGAGAGAGAGAGAGAGAGAGAGAGAGAGAGAGAGAGAGAATATAAATGTACAAAATCTTCAGGGACAAAAGGTTGAAAAGAAAGCCAAAAGTGAAAGAATTTTTTTTTTGGGGGGAGGGGGCTAAAATAATAATGAAAATTCTTTAGAAAAATATACACAATAGGCAAACTAAAAGACACTACAGCTAAACCAAACTATGTCTAATATATCACAGATTTTCTGTCCAGGATATTCTCGTATACAGGATAATAAACAAGCTGAAAGACTGGCTGCTACTGCGCATTTGGGCGATGAGCTACTTTATATTAAAGGTGAAGTGATGAAGATTCTGATTTCAAGTGAGAAATGCAACGGAGTACACAAGTTTCTATACCTGGGAAAAATTGATTCAGGGGCGAGTAATCAGAGGCACTGGACGGTGTTCAGTGCACAGGGAAAAGCACAGATGATTTCAGTAGGGGAACTTTTCATTGGTTACAGAAGAAGGCGACAGAGCACATGTGGAAATGCCTCGAGTGCAGCGATGTCGGCTCTTGATTCGGTCACTGATATCTTATTTCGTGTAAATGCATTTGGTCGGAGCTGTAAATCATATGATGTTTGCTGGAAATATAGGTGACCGTCATATCCATAAACCATTCCAAATCTTTATATTTACCCTAGGGCAGCTAGTGAAAGCAGATCAGTATATAAAGCTATAATTAAAAGACAAGCACTGTTCTTTTTTCATGGGATTTTTTTTTTTTGGGGGGGGGGGGGGGGAGGCAATGGAGAAAATTGTAACGACTGGGAAGATCAGCGGTAGAAGAGGGAGAGGCAGACCAAGAGAGACGATGACAGATGGACTGCGACTGTGGCACGGAGGGATATCATCGGTGGAACTGATGCAGAGGACAAGGAGCAGAGATCTGTGGAAATGCACGAACGTCTACGCCAGTCGACAGGGACGTGATGATGATGATGATGAAGCGTCACTGGGTACTGGGTACACAAGAAAGAAGATATTACATAAAAGACACGTGTCCTCCTCATTCTTCTCCTCCTCCTCCCCCTCCCCCCTCTCTCTCTATCTCTCTCTCTCTCTCTCTCTCTCTCTCTCTCTCTCTCTCTCTCTCTCTCTCTCTCTCTCTCTCTCTCTGTCTGTCTCTCGCTTCTTGTTTTCCCCCTTCTTCCCCTTCCTTTATTCGTCTGTGTCACCAGCTATGAAAAGGAATGACCAGCTTTATTCAAGAACAACGTGCCTGTTTTACAACCGGAATAACCGTTGCTGCAATATTTGAAACCTGTAGCAATGGTCCTTTTTAAAGTATTTTTTCTTAGCAAAAAATCTGGAACCTACATTTTAAATCCATGTTGGCAAGATGAGCAGTGTCTATGGTGATGCTCCCCGTGGCCATGGTGATGATCTCCGTGTCCATGGTGATGCTCTCTTCCGGTTCCATGACACACGCTGCATTTGATCTATTTAAAAAAAAAATTGACTTCTTAGAACTCGCCTCACGGATCAAATTATTTAATAATAAAAGTAATATGAATAAAAATAATCATGATAACAGTAGTCTTAGCAGTAATAGACTACTACTGCTTCTACTAGTAGAACTGTATTAGCAGCAGAAGCAGCAATAGAAGTAGTAGTAATAGTAGTAGTAGTTTCTACTGTAGTTGTAGTAGTATTAGTAGTAGTAGTAGTAGTAATAGTAGAAGTAGTAGTAGTGGTAGTAGTAGTAGTAGTAGTAGTAGTAGTAGTAGTAGTAGTAGTAGTTTCTACTGTAGTTGTAGTAGTATTAGTAGTAGTAGTAGTAGTAGTAGTAGTAGTAGTAATAGTAGAAGTAGTAGTAGTGGTAGTGGTAGTAGTAGTAGTAGTAGTAGTAGTAGTAGTAGTAGTAGTAGTAGTAATAGTAGTTGTAGTAGTAGTAGTAGTAGTAGCAGCAGCAGCAGTAATAGTTGCTGTTGTTGTTACTATTCTGCTTCTTTTTTTTTTTTTTTTTTTTTGGTAGAAGTCGCATTAGTAGTACTTGTAGCAGCAGTAGTAGACAAGTTTTATTCTTGTCTGATGCTAGGTAGTACTGGCACCCTGTTTAGACCTACTATAACAGAAACAACCTGCTCAAGACAGAAACATACAATCCTTAACAGACAGAGACAAACAAGGAAACGAAAGGTAGTATATCGACACGGTTTCTGCAGCTTACCTTTCCTGTCCCCAAACACTGGAAGCATGTCTTAAAGCCTCTCGCTCCACAGTTGTCACAAGGCTGAGGGAGATAGTGGTACGTTTCATTTTACAGTCGCACAGAACAGGTATACAGCACCCCCCCCCCCCCCCACCTCTCCCTTTGCATTCTCCAGTCTGAGGATTGAGGCCTAAAGCTTTGACATCCAATGACACAAAAATCAACTTTTCGGATGACAGTTGAACGAAAGTAAACCCCAGACAAAAGCACAACGAATCAGGCGTCTGGTCGAATAGAAATCATCCATCAGCCATTGCTTGTCATATTTTAGACTAAGCACATCGTAAATAAGGAAGATGCATTTCGAATTATTTGCACTTCAGGCAACCGTAGATTACTGAGATTTGTGAAAGCGACCGCTATAAAACGGTTTAGTCCAGAATTATGCCCTGGTGAAACAGATAGGTTTTGAATGTAGGCGATTTTGTGTTTCCGTTCGAAGCCATTTACTTGCTCATTTAATCAATCGTTACTGTAGTCTGCATCTAACAAGATACAGCGAAATGGGCTAGGCAATTTATTGTTTGTGTCTTCACTGTTCAGATTAAAAGTTAGTTGTGTATACTTTACATGACGTTGCAGAATCAACCCCAAGCATGTGTTGGCTGTTGTGATTTTAATAGCAATTGTTTTTGTAGTAGCTGTCGTCCTATAGGGGCATATAAATAAACTCGGACCAGGGCACAATCGACTTTGCAGCAACATGTACACATTATTTAAGACTGACGAATCAGCCATGTGTAAATGGTAATTAGTACCTGAGACAACACATCGAGTCCTCCAAGACTGTCCCAGATGCAACATATCAAAATTTGCGTGTCACTGATTAAATCACAACAGAAAGTGATGTTCATACTAGACATTGCAGATATAGATAATCTATTTCAAGCGAACGAAAGAAGAAGAAGAAGCAGAAGAAACACAGATCAAAAACACACAAAGTAGGAACCTAAAGGCTGAAGTGCTAGACCTTTGTTTTATAAACAGCGCTCAGTGCGTGATGTGTTCAACATCACGCCGGCCGCCTTTGCTTCCTTGAACTTTACCTGGTATCTATTTAAGACTGGGTTGACATGGAACCAATGATGTTTTTGAAAAACAAAACAAGTCTGGCTACGTTCGGATTTGAACATACGACCTTCTGAATCGCAAGTGAACATCTAGTCGCTATATCCCAGCGGCTCCCTTTAATGAGATAAAGTTATAAAAAAAAGTAAAGTAAGGAACCCTTTCCCACGACTTCAGGCGGTTTGGGCATATTGGGCTTGACCTATATTTTATAGACCAATCGGCACTTAGTAGTGCGATGTGGTCATCATCACGCCGTCTGCCTTTACTTCCCAGAACGACACCTAGTTCCCTCTTGTATCGACTTGAGATGCAAGATCATTTTTTTTTTAAAGTCCGGCTCCGTCAAGACCCGAACCCTTGACAGTCGTATCTGCAGGCGAACGTCTAGCCGCTAAACCACGATTAGCAATACAGTAAGTAATACAAATAGAAAGAAATTGTGATGGTCTACCTCCACGGAGGCCGTGTTGGGAATCTCGATATCCACTGAGCTTGTCTTGAACATCTGTGGCGGCTGCACTTGGATGTCCCAGGGTGCAGGTGCGGGTCCGGTCACAACCAAACCCTCACCCCTGTAAGGCTGACTGGCCCGTTTCGTTGTCCGCCCCTCCGCAAATGTTTCCAGAGTGTACTGTTGAAAATGATCAGTAATGTATACAATTCATAGGGGAAAGACAAAAGATAATAAGTTTGAAGTTTAAACAACGGATCATCATCATAGCACACGGTTAGTAACCCATAAGTGCTCTCTTCTTCTTCTAACTCAAGTCTGAGTTGAAAGAAGTTCAGCACAGTGCAAAGGCTCTGTAACACCAGCGCGGATCCTGAAATATTTTGGGTAGATTTTTAACTCTAAATTTTGCCCGGGCAGCGCCGTAACGCTACTCTTTTCGAGTTACGCTACTCTTTTCCCTGCCCTTACCGGGGATTGAACCCGGAACCTCTAGCCACCGAGGCGGACAACACGCATCGAGACCCCGCAGCACATGGGCAAAGACAAAGATAATAAGAATAAACCAGGGAAACAAACGGATCGGTTCTTTATTAATATCCTACCCCCAGATGACGTTACAGGACAGTCCAACATTTTAGAGGGGGGTAAGACGGGTTTTCCGGCTTTCTGATGCTTTTAACGACCCCAAAACATCTAGAACTGGCGCTAACCCTAACCCACCTACGTCCCACGAGAGAGTGCAGCATAGGTCCCACGACTACATGCAGTCTAACTACCAATCTCTGAAACATCAGACTGTCCCGTGACCAGTGGATTTTCCGTGTTTGGGGTAGGAAATTAATAAAGCACCAATGGATTGAGAAAACGAGGACGTCTTAGAAACACTCTGAAGCAAACGCCACTGAGAGAGGCTAAAGATGCGTGACTGAATTTTATCCTCGACATCACAAGGTTTGCACAGGATAGGATGGAATGGAGGACTACAGAGTGAGTTCTAGCTGACGTGTAAATGGAACAACACGATGATGATGGTGATGATGAATTTGATTATGGTAAGTTTAATCATGATGGCACAGTGATCTAATCTCTTTTACAAAAATTATACTCCGAGATGTGGAGTCATACACCTGTCATCACCATCATCATCAGCTTCCACTTTTTCCCTTAAGCGACGTGGGAAGAAACAGTTTGTGATCTATTTCTTGATGGGCGACAGTGGCTTTTTTCATTCTAAGCTGATGTAGAATGTCTTTAATGTCATCAAGTTAGCCTTTGATGATGTCCAATTTCTGCACTAGTACCACAGTTTTGGTACGGCTATGCTGTTTATCCTCTGTCTGGGTGTCTCAATAACGACCCCAGTTGGTATACAAGTGCACTGGCTCATTTGGCATCTTGTTTGTATTTCCCGATATACACTCAACATTTCCGAGAATAAACAACTTCCTATATTTTTAAAATTCTGTATAACTTGCGTGCTTCAAACAAATACCATTCAACTCTGAATGCAGCGGACTAAGAATTCTACTATCCCGCATTACTTCAGTGTTAGTCGTTTCTACAGTTAAGACAGTAATGCGGATAAAGAAGCAGGAACTGACTGAAATATTAAAATAAGAATACACAAGACAAAAGAAGTTGACGACTCACTGTCGAAGTCAACTGACGATTAAACTAACAAAAAATTTAAACTCTTTAGCTCGTTATTGCGACTTAAACAATAGAATACTTGCGTCTATTGGCTTTTAACAGTAGAACAAAACACAACACACACAACCATACTGCTTCTTAAATGACTATATAAAACTATTATGTACACGTCTAAAACAAAGTAATACTGAACGACAGTTATAAAAATATACACGGTACCAAGATGAAAGGTAGGTAGGTCCTTTGCTGTGGGAGAAACGTCACGTTCAACTAGCATCCCCGAAGGGGGAGCTTTAGGTTATAACTGTGACTGGGTTATGTGTGCCTTTTAAAATGGCAATTGGCACTGCACGCCAACAAGAGCCCTAAGAAAAACACCTGCAGTGTTGATGCGATTGAAAGAGACATACCCAAATTCACTCCCGGCCGGCGACGAAGTCGTTCACTGTCGAGCCAATGGGCGACCCGGTCACCGATAATGCAAAATAAAAGGTAGGATAATATCATTTATTTTTTGGTTATAAAAGTCTGGGCTAAATAAATGTTTATGACATCTCTAGTTCTAAAAGTAATTAAAGTCAACCATCTTGGTAATAAACAAATCAATATGACTACGTGAGCTTCTGGCGGCCATGAAAGAAACTATTCGCATTTCAGTTGAATTTATTCAGTTTTCTGTTTATTTTTTGGTGATGTAACTCTGTAGTTATAAACAAATTGTTTTTTGGCACCACAGCTAGGTCTACGGAAGTTCCCGTAAACTTACAACATATTTTATTGAACGAATTATCATTATGAAGAATCTGAAGATAAATAAGTGAGCTATAAGAAAACAGAATAACAATAATATAATATTCAATAAAATATGTTCTTCTTCTGCCTTTCAATCTCCCAATGGAGCATAGGCCTTCAGCCAACTCACGCCAAGTAATAAAATATGTTGGAAGGTAATTAAACTCTAGTTTAATTTGTGTATAAATTTACTCGATAACAATAGTGAGCACAGACCGTACATGGCCTGGCCTAACAAAACGGGAATTTAATGGACTATCTCCCAGTCCTTAATGAACATAAATGAGCCTTTGAGCTGAAATACAACAGAAAGAATATCAGAATAACTTGGACAAAGAAGAAAAGAAATACTGCCATTCTAAAAGATCTGAACATTAAAGCAGAATGGCTAATAAACAGTATCTTGTTTCGGAAGTGAAACTACTTTTGTCATATCAAAACCCGTGGCGGATTGGGGCAGGGGTCGACCAACGCGAAGATGGGCGCAGGATATGTGACTTCTTGGGCATGAAAGCTCACGAGGAGGGAGAGCTGGCGAAAGACCGAGTTTCTTACAGACAGACCGTGATGAGAGCGACGTTCTGCAAAGCACCTGTTAAATGATGTTGATACATTAACACATACAATTCGGCAAAACATACTTAAAAGTTGAAAAAGGTTTATACGAACGTGAAAAGCACTTGAAGAAACCAAATCTGTAAACTGCATGTCCGCTGCAGGAGCTTTTCCATAGCAACAGTGCTCGCTAGCGTGTTGAATAATGGCGTCCCTTGCGTCTTGTTCACTTATGGTCGCTGAGCTGTGGATAACACCTTTTGATTTCATTTATTGAAAAGCAGAGGCGCCGAAACTTAGGAGATTGGGTGCTTCACGATTTCGCCCCAACCCACTATAATTTTTTTTAAGGGGTTTATTTTCCTCCCCCACTCCCGACCCCATTACACCCTCACGATGTTTAGAAGTTATTCTTTTAAGTTTCATTAGCCACTCAGCACATAATTATTATTATAAATATATACGAGGTTAGGCCTCTTGAGGCTCCCCCCCCCCTTTTCCCCCTGACATTTTGTAAGGCTCCGAGTTAACGCCCCCCCCCCCCATTGTTTTCTCTGACTTGACGCCTCTGTTGTAAAAACGGAAATTAACTCATTCAACACAGTAAAACTCTTAAAAGTTTTCGTGTGGGTTCCAGAGCTGAGCTCGTGTCGTCCGCTTTCTTTTCAGTGACTTAGGATTAATTAACTGGAACATGCCAGAGACATGTTTAACCGCACACAATTATAATTACAATGAATAAATGGCAATTATGTTTCAAGCCTCCATGGCAACGATTGTAATATTTTTTTTCAAGACAACACAAAGAATGATGCATGAAAGATTAGATGACTTCGCACTTTCATTTCGAAAAGCAAAGTGGCATTTTATCTGTTTCAAAATTACATTTGTATCTGTATATGTTAATGTATGCTGTCGAGGAATTTCTAACCGAAACATGTATAACACCTCCTGCGATTGTTTTCTTGCAACGCTTCCCAGTTCTACTTGACTTTTTTACCGATTGACTCATCGCATTTAAAGAATCCATTTCTTCTTCGTTTTCGTAATCCATACTTTGCCTTTCAGCGTCAGTTTTTGAAGAGGCACCAAGTGAGAGCCTCGGTAACTGCTACGTAGATGCTGAAATTCACAACTTGTGATATTCCATCTACCTATGGGCTACGTGGGCTACCTCTCGACTGCTTCAGTTGTGTCTCAGTGACAAAAACAATTCATCTCTTATTTACAGAAATAACTGAAAAATCTGAGCTAATTTATGTGATTAAATTTTATAGGTTAAATATAATAATAATACTTAAATGTACTTAGATTATCATACATAGGTAACGATTGTGTTATCTCATATTGAAGTATCTATATCTTGTTATCATTTAAAAAATGTAAAAAACACGATATCAGCTCTTCATTATCAACACAAGACAAGTCCGGTCAAGTTTATTGGGACTCCAGCGCAGATCAGTAACCGATTTGAAGTTCAATGTTCACTGTTTATTCATTGCACGAGCATATCCATTAGTGCTCTAATCTTTTCCTAAGCATGTTTCTCAGTATTTTTACGCTAATGACTCCTGTTCTGTATTAGCTGAAGTCGCGAATATAATGAGCTGTTAATTGTTTTCACGCTCCCCTGCTACAGTTTGTGTATCTAGACTTCGCAGCCGGGTCACAGAGAAATCAATATTCTTATACTTGAGATATTCAGCAAGTGTTGGCTCTTGTAAGGCTTTCATTATATGCATTTTGTCCAGAGAAGGCTCACTGTCTAGTGTGGCGTTGCCCGCAAGCGCATCCGATCTCTCGTTGCTTTTCACACCGGCATATTTGAGACACAGATGAAGGTGATGGTTCGAAGAGCTGTTTTTTTTTAATGAGTGATGCCATTCTCTGTACACGTATTATTATAAGCATAAGAGTTACCGGCTTATAATGATCGCGTGAGAAACTACGAGATATTTCTATCGCCATCGAGTGCCTTGCCGATTAACGAGGGCGAACATGCCTCTCTGCAATCTTGGATCTTCAAAATTATGTAACAGTTTGTGTATTGACACTCTCTCGCGCCCTGACAAAAGGATGCCAAGAATCTGTTTGCATTGTATTCCTTTGTCTCTTTTTCCACATTTTTTTTTTTTTTCTGACAAATACTATTGCAGTTTCCTTTATCTGCTAATGTGACCAAAAGCAAGACAAAACAAAGATGATCAATGTCTCTTTCTGATTTTTGTGATAAGCTGTCTTCCAGCCCTCGCCGTCTTCTAAACACATGGGTTGCTCTTTTTGGCTATCGAGTCAATTCTGATGATTCTTCTGCAAAACCACTTCCCAGAGACGAGGCGGAAAGCGAAAAAGAGGCCAACCGTGCAAATATGGACAGAAGAAATAACATAGTTTAGGTTAATCCTAATTTACAAATCGCACGAAAAGGTAGTTTTCCGGAAATTATACTTCATCTCGACACTGCAAGGTTTCAGAGGATCAAGATAAGATAAGATAACCTGGCACAAGACGATTACTATCTTATGGACAGACCAGACCAAGTCATTATGCTACGCTTTTGAATAGAACACAATCGACTTCGCAGCCACATGTACACAGAGTTTAAGACTGGCGAATCAGCCATGTGCACGTGATGACAGGCATTAGAGGCAACAGATCACATCCTCCATGACTGTCTCAAATACAAGATTTCCAGAGAGACAATGGTTGAAGCCAAAACTTTACGGGCCGCTAAGTGAATTACAAAAGACAGTAAAGTTCAAACTAGAGACAGCACTGCAGATTTGGACAATTTATTTCAAGCGAGCGAAAGAAGAAGATGAGATGATTAGGAATGACAGTTTTTGATGCTGTCTATTTATTACCTTTTAATATCTGCCCTGGTTGGCGGTGGACCTTGTACAGCTTGTTCAAACGTAGGTGGAGGTAGGGCACTGGTGGAAAGAAATAAACATTGTTTATTATTTGTAGTGTAGTAGATGTTTCTGAAAGGGCGGGTCGTTTTCTCTAGCGGTACGCAGCACTGGCACCTTTTCTGTTGGCACCATTCTTTTGAAGGGATACTGATGTAGAAAATGTGTGATGAATACCGGCACCTTTTTTTTTAGACTCTTTGTAGTACCTTTTGTTTCTAGAAAAACAGCTCTGCTAAAGAGTAATAACATATCGGCTCTGACATTATCAGCCCCCATACAAATCTGCAAGGGGTAGAACCTAAGCTTGTTTAAGGGCGTAACAATAATATGTTCAGTTGTAATTAGGTATATTAATACATTTAAAATAATATTAAATTGTATAAAAATTACTTTAAAAGAAAACTTGTTTTTACAAATTACTGGGCAGATTAGCCCTTCTACCATTTCTTTGGCGCGAAGCTCAGTTCCCCTTCCCCAACAGTTTTTTAAAAGGGAGGGAGTGAAAGCGCTCGAACGGTCTAAGCTGCCAGGTTCTAGCCACCTGCAGACAGCACAGCACTCGGGAGCTCTCATACAAACTGTATCCCCCTTCTTCAGCAGCGAGTGCAAATTTCCAACATTAATTGTGCCAATTTTAGTCTGATTGCATGTCCGTCTTGAATATATTCTGAGCAGAGAGAGAGAGAGAGAGAGAGAGAGAGAGAGAGAGATAGAGAGAGAGAGAGAGAGAGAGAGAGAGAGAGAGAGAGAGAGAGAGAGAGAGATTGAGAGAGAGAGAGAGAGAGAGAGAGAGAGAGATAGAGAGAGATAGTGTTTACATCATGTTTACATCAACTCCTTCAATACCAGTCAACTTATTACTAGTTGATCATTCAGTACAATTAAGATATACATTTCTTACTCTCCTTTTTTGTGCACATCACCAGTCAGCAGATCCTTTACTGAATGTGGCTCTCGACACAGCATGCGTGAAAGTCTTTTACTCTGGCTAATTCTCCAGCCCTATGTGCTTTCATAGCCAATGCATCTTCATGTCTTGTAACCACCTTAGCGAAGTCTGCTTCTGCCTCGTTTTCCGGTAACGGTACCCCCCATCACCGTTCTTTCCAAGCCACTATGGCGTTTAACGCTGCTAAAATACATTACCTTTCTGGATAGGATGTTGTTTATGAGCCAATTCTCCTCGATGTTCAGATTATGTTGGAGTTCGCTGTTTTTCTCCTTCTTGATCCGTGTGATGTTCTAAGAATTTTTCTATTGCGTTTCAGTTCGATAGCTCCGATTCTTCCTCATTCCATGCAGATACAAGTTTTTTTTTTTTAAATGATGAAGAAGAAGACAAATTTTAAGTTTACTCCTCCCCCATGTGGTCATTTTTCTAACCTCTTGGACTCACACATGGGCTGCTTTAAACTAGAACTTTCTAGGATATCAGAGGTTGAAGTAAATACAGGCTGGCATCGAAAGAGTTAACAGACCGTTTCTGAAAGATTAAACTTGCCTTCTTGGGACCCGACATTGATGTTTCAGGAATCTGCCCCAAAGACGCATTAGACGTAGCCGTAGATTCTGTGGCTTGTCCATCAGATCCTAAGAAAAATTGTAAAGTACACAACAGAAAAAAAAACATAATTTCCTGAGTCCAAAATACGTTTTTTTTTTAACTTTTAATGGTTCAAAGGTTGAAGGATCGCTTTCATATTACTAGTGTAGCGACTAGACGCTCGCTTATGGATCCGAAAGTCATGGGTTCAAATCCAAACGGAGCCAGGCTTTAATTTTTAAATGATCTTGCCTCTTAAGTCGTCATCATTATCAGTTCTCGTTATGCCTAGTGGCACATGAGGCTTCAGAGAGGACTTTCCATGCTTTCCTGTCCTGTGCAATCTTCAGTGCAGTTTTCCATGTCAAAGATACCGCACTCAGGTCACTTTCCATCGTTCGTTTCTTAAGTCGACTTAGACTTCAATGGTGGCAGGGAAAGTCCTGCGAATTAAAGGCGACGGACATGATGTTGACCACATCACTCACCGAGTGCAGTTTGGTTTATAAAATATTGGTGTAGCCCTACATGCACAGAAGGCATAAAGGGGTGGAAAGCGTCCTTTACACCACTGCACAGGATTTTGTCCTATCTCTCTCTCTCTTTCGTTCTCTCTGTCTCTCTTCCTGTCTCTCTCTGTTCTTCCTACACCTCTCTGTCTAACTCTGTGTCTTTTCTTGTCTCTCTCTCTCTCTCTCTCTCTCTCTCTCTCTCTCTCTCTCTTTACCTTTGTGACTGTTCTATAGCTCTCTCTCTCTCTTTCTCTCTATGTATATATGTG